AAGGGGTAGGGAAGAGGGGGCTCAGGGGGGCCAGGGTGGCAGCAGCGGGGGCGGGGGGGGGGGGGGAGGAGGGGATAGTAAAAGTACAGGCAGGCAATTTTCAAGTTTCAATGACATTCTTTTACCTGAAGAATCGTCTGCACAACATTTGAAGATGTGCATGTGATGGTAGGAACCTTGAGCTGTGCCTCTGCCTTTGTCTCAAGGGACGTGTTGATGTAGATGACATGCAGAGAATTGGGGGTTTTAGAGGCCTCGTCAAGAAACTGGACATAACTGGGCCCTTGCGCTGCGGTCGCAAGGGAGCAGCCAATCTCCAGGTTGGACATGCGATAGACTCCCACATGCGAAAAACCAGCCTGGTCAAGAATGGCACGCACGTTCTCTGACATGAAGTCCACCCCAAGCACAGCTATGGTGGTGCATCCTGCTTCAGCCATCTTCACCGCTCCGTCCGCCATGACTAGGGAGTCGGAGATCAATATGTGCGGCCAACGACTACGTGCGGCGGCGAGCACGCCTTGCACCTCAGGGTCCATGTAGAAGTGGGCGACGACTCCGATCTTCTTCGAGGAAATCAGAGACACTAAGGTGTCCACAGCATGTGGGTCGGGAGACAAGAAGCGCGCCTGGGACTGCGCGAAATCCCCGCGCGGTTGGAGCTCGCCATTCGCCGAGATTAGTATGGATGGGAAGGGGGCCACCGGAGTCAAACCGTCTCGCAGAAGAGCTAACTCCCCTGCTCTCTTCTGCATCATCTTCAGCATGTTGTAGAAGCCATTGATCCTAGATCGGGTGGCGATGGGAGAAAGATGCATGGACGTGAGTGTTTCTTCCCTTACATCGAGTATGGCCTCTGGAGTCAATCCACTCAGTCCTTGAACAAGGACAGCACAAAGGCCACGCGACAACTCAGCATCGCTGTCGCCGCTAAACCAGACCCACCCTTCATCATCCAATCTAGCAGTTACCCAGACGCGTGCAGTGCATCCCATAACTTGATTCTCAGGAATGCAGTCCTCCTTGTCAAGCCGGGGCAACCGCTCTGCGTAGTGCAGAAGGAGCCTCATCTTGTCCTTGTTATCTTCACATCGGCTGAACTCCTCGGCAATTTTCTGCAGAATCACCTCCTCCCCAACATGTCTGAGGACGACTGCATCCGCCAGGGCGCAGCGAACCACTCCCTCCCTCACCTTGCCCTCCATTTTCCTCCTGACTCGTAAGGAAAAACAGCCACAAATCTGCGATTTGGATACCCATCTTGACCCACAGCCCCACGGATCAGACCGCGAGAGCGGTGACGACTGCCGGCTTCTGCCGTAGCTGACATGCGCACTCTCCCACCTGTGAGAGCACCCTGAGTCAGACGACCCGTGGCATGAAAATCTCAGAGATCCTGAGCGCCGCTGTAGCCTGCTAGAGTGGCACAAAGACATCGACAACGACGAAGAAGCCGCTTGAGCGGAACAACAACATCCATTTCTACCCCGTCTTCCCTCACCCTCCTGCCCTACAACAATTCCGGTAGCCCATGCCGATTCCATTCGCACTGCACCTGCAACCACCTGCGCCTCCATCTCTCTCTCTCTCTCTCTCTCTCTCTCTCTCTCTCTCTCTCTCTCTCTCTCTCTCTCTCTCTCTCTCTCTCT